ATTTAACCATCTCCGATATGTCTTATGTACAACGTGATTTTCAAATTATATACATTTAAAGCATTTAACCATCTCATTACTACACTGTTTACCAATAAAACAAGATATAAAAGATACATGGTGTTATATTTTTTATTGTACACTGTGTGAATAATTTTACTACAATCGGTGCATAAGGACCAGCAACAATTATTAAAATAAAAACTGTTACTTTTAACTATGCTAACACTGTGGCACTAACTACCAAAATGCATTATAACCTATTTACATATGAAAACATAAATGAAGGTAGCCTTACAAAAGAAACAAAACAGATGAAAAGACACCATTGTTGTCGTATTCTTGTCGTTTGTCTAAGAGTACTATCATTCAAATGAGTGTGCCTAGTGCATTAAGTTGAAGACAACACCCATAAATTATTGTCTAATAAGATTGGACTTTGAATATATAAATAAAATGATTGAAATATTATTATACATACACAATTCCATATAATATTTTATTCCTATATGTTTATGTAAATTTACTTATTTATTGTATTTCAGTATATAGTTAAATATTTACAGTGATTGTTACAACTTTATATCAATAAAAGAAGACTATACCAGTTTAAATTTTGCTATTTTTTGCGAGCCTTGTGAGGTGTTTCAAATTACAATATAAATATTGTACCGCCATAATTAATATTTACGAAAACGTATATAATTATAACAATACAAAACATATAATTAACCATTAATCAAACTTAGAATTTATTTTCCCTCATCTAAATAACAAATTAAAATCATTATCATGATAAATCAGTTTCTGCACTCATATAATTGTTACAACAATTTATAACGAACATAGGGCCTACGTGTATAACATTCCAAAGATTAAAAAAAAGTACAACATTACATTAAAAAATATAGTGACAAACAACTCATTACAACATTCATCATCAGTTATCACTATAGGTAATCAACTACAACTAGGCTTTTGTGAAAAATCGCCGTGGCTAGAGATACGATACCGTATCGGAACTTCCGATTGCTAAAGGTACAGTAAATGATATTACGTCATGATTAGCCAATAGAAATGACCGACGCGATTTTGGCTTTTTTGCAAAGTCGACGTCGCGATCATGAGTAACGTGTGGGGCGAACAGTTACGATCAAATTTATGTCATAAAACTTTAGGCCCATTTCATGTATTTCGATTGGGGCTTATCGCAATGTTTGAGATAAAATCCTTTCTGTTATTCTTGTGTATTTTATGGTCTACCAATGTTCTACTAAGGCTAGGCCTAGGGCCTAGCCCAAATACCCGCCTAGGGGCTTATTATAGGAGTACTTCTAGGCTAGGCTTAGGCCACAAGTAACTGGAAGTGCTACTACAAAGTGTAGAGTCATTGCGGCCCTGAGTCGATTCGGCCCCGGGTCGTTTCGGCCCTGAGTTGGTATTTTTGTCATGCATTTTGGCAGCGGTGCATGGAGCGCCGAAGGTGCGGCTGCGAATGATAATTTAATCGAACAAGGTAGTATACCTTTGTTAAACATGAAACTTAGGCTAATACTGCAACATCATCAGATATTAGGCCTAACAATTCTTTTTAGTAGTATTTTTTTATTATTATTATTATTATTAAAGAGTTCATTGCAGTATCAAATGATGTTCTTTCTTTTTACAGAAACAACACAAATGTTGCAAGTCGGTGGTTTGGAGACACTTTTCTTTTTATCGTTTCCATACGATATATATTTGGATCATGTTTATAAATGCTTCAATAAAATTTAGATTTATAAAATAAGTAGGCTTATAGTTAATTTAGCGGATCAGTTTGTCATAAGTTTTTTTTTTTTTTGCTTCAAATTTTTGCGAAATTTCCCTCACAAGGCCTACGGTATTGTTGCATGGAAAATAATTATAAAAATCGGAAAGAAACGCCCACAAACAGGTTCCCAGTACTCTTTAGGGTGAAGCAGACATCCTTACTACGCCGTCTTCAGGAACTTGTGGGCGCACTACTGCAAAGAGTGAAGTATAGGTCAGAGGATAAAATTAGACTGGCTATTTTTTAGGCGCACACACATGCCATGGCAGTGAATGTGTACGCGTGTGTTCACCTCTTGTCTATGGTTCCGATTTAAAAAAAAAATTATTTAACTTTGTTTAAGCTTTAATATTTCATTTACCGTATATGGACAGGGCCCCAGCCGGCAGGAGCCGAACATGAGATGTCCGACAGGGGAACCGATCGAAATAACATCGCCTTAAGGGGATGTCCACGAAACATTTGTTTTCTAGACAGACGCAACCTCTGAGGCATTTTGGGCGATCAATTTTCCCCTTTTTTAACTTCCTATTAAATTTAATTCATAGCCAGGTTTCAACAAGGGTGAGGGCCTAAGATAGGCAGTAACAACAAGGAAAGGTCGGACCTAGGCCTAGAGATGTTCAGGCCGGCCTACCCTCTAGCTACTGTAGGCCCTCCGGCTTCTCTAGGTTTCAGCTAAGGCATAGGCATGGCTTCTACTATTAAAGGGCAAGTGCGGGTTTAAAATAAGTCGTCATATATTGCTTATTTAACCTTTTTCGAGTTCGGAAAAAATATTTAAAAAAATCAAAAACGTTAGATGTAACGACAATTACGGAAACAAAACATGATATGATGAGAAATCAAAATCAGGTGAAAACGAGGCTGATCACTTTTTTCAGTAACTCATTAATATTCATGACCAGTCTGTCGAGGAATCGAGCAGCTGATCGAGGAATCGTCCCGACGATGATCGAGCGACCAGTAGCCTCGACAATATACATACATACAGTTAGTGAGAAATCATGAGTTTTTACGTACGCAGTAACAGAGAGAGGGTTTAGTCGACGTCAGTTCAATCACGGAGGAATTATTCAATTGAATTAATACCAGTTTGTTGATAGTTAGGCCTACACCTATGGCTATGCCTAGGATTAACACAGTCAATATCTACCCAGCGTCAGTACTCCCGTCCCGCTCGCAACAGGTGAGTTCTCAAGTGGCCTATCCAGCTGAAGCTGACGGTAAAGTTATTACCGTAGGTTTCTACTAGACTACTACTACTTATATTAATAGGCCTAGCTAGTCTGACCATAGAGATATGGTCGGACTAGGCCGGACTGTCACAATAGGCCCTATTTAAAAAGGCCGGGTAAATGTCTAGAATATCTTTGTATAGGCCCTAGACTTTTCATGCCATGGCGACATTGTCACATTGTGCAAGTGCATTTTTTTTATTTCATAGAAAAATAGGCCTTCCTAGGTAGGCCTACTACTAAATAACTAGGCAGGCCTGGTCCTATGAAAAACTGTCTAGGCCTAAATGTTAAAACTGCACTGTCTAAATAATGGTGATGTGCTATATAATACTATTTTTTATTTTTTTTTTTTTGTAGGAATACAATATAGGTGATAGGCATACAAGGCACCTTGGTCACATGGTATTTGACATTTCCCATGATGAGACAGAAATACCCCAACATTTGCCATTAGTACAACCGCCCAACCTGCACCCAAAACTGGCATCTACTGAAACATGTACAAAAGATGGTGGTAC